CTGGCGTCTCCGTGGAAACGCCGCGCTGGCGTCTCCGTGGAAACGCCGCGCTGGCGTCTCCGTGGAAACGCCGCGCTGGCGTCTCCGTGGAAACGTGGACTTGGTAGTGGAAACGTGGGCGTTTTTGTGGAAATGCGGGCCTCTCGGTGGAAACGTGGTGCAAGGCCTTTTGACCAGCCTACCGCCGTGGGCCACAGCCTGGGCTGCCCATTGCAGTCATGTAGGGTGTGAGGTGGGAGAGCAGGAGGTGTGCGTTTATAGAAACAAAAGCTCACGAGCTTCACCTCAGATCTCCTGAATCAGAATGTCTGGGAGTGAGACCAAGGGACTCTATGTTTAACAAGCTCCTCGGATGAATATAATGAAAGTCAGAACTGGGAACCACCGGTTTGGTTTGTCGCTCCATGTCACACGCCTGTGAAGGGAGACCATAATTAAGAGACCTGCCCAAGCACACACATCTGATTAGCAATAGGGTCGTGACTACATCCCGCATTGCTGATCTTGGGCTTTTACCACTAAACAGCCCTGGGGCAGGAAGAAACCAGGCCTGTTGCCTTCCTTTGCTTCTCACCTCCCCCCAGTCTGCTGAACCCTTTAATAGGCCAGATAAGATAGGCCCTCCCCAGAAGCGGCCCACTCTTCCTCAAAGGGCTGGAGAGGGGGAATGATTTCCAGTTTACAGCTAGTGCTAAAATGAGGCATGCACAGGGACATGGGAATCTAAACAAGGGGCCTCTTGACTTGTAGTCACATGCTCTTCCCCAAGCCAGAAGCCCAGGTCAGCCACGTTTCTAACTGATGCCATTTAACAATTGCGACCTAGCAGAACCCTCCAGTACCATACCAGTTATGTTTATTCCTGGTCAGCCCCAATATCTTGGCTGACTCACTTCATGCAAACTCCCCTTTTCTGGCTGTAAGCTGACCTTCCGCTTTCTCACTGACCCCTCCCAGTGAGTGCCCAGAGCCTTCTTTACTCTGCCTTGTACATTCCCTACTTCTGTCCCTAGCTGGGTGCACTGGCTTTGAAAATCACTTCTTATTGCTGGAACGACTCCTCCCACCTTCCCTCCTTTCTTTGTCTCCACCCCAGGCCCATTTATTCTAAAATCTTTCTCTAGTACTCTCCCCCCACCCCTACCCTCACCTTTTGCATCATTGGCTGAATTTTGCTTTCTTTTCCATCTCTTATCTGTTCCTCTTCTTTCTTCCCAAGGCCAAGTTCTTGGCCTTGAACCTCCTGGTATGAGCCTGGGGTGGAGCATTTGGCCAGAGAAGCTGGAGCCATCATTCTAGAAGCAGATTGTGAAGAATTAACTTTACCCAAAGAGAAATCTGGTCTTTGTCCCTGGTTCCTGGGAGATAATCTAAATCCTTAGAATTTCCCAAGTGATTAGAGTGGGTCCCTCAGACCACACCTGATAGTTTATGCTAATAAAATAACTCATAGTAGGGGAGAGGAAGGGGCTGGAGATTGAGTTCAATCACATGGCCAATGAGTCAATCAATTGTGCCTATGCAATGGAAAACAAACAAAAACAAAACTCTAGATACTGCAACTGCGTGAGTTTCCCCAATTGACAGTATGCTGCGTATCATTACACTTTGATGTTGGGAAGATAATTCTTCCCTGAGGACAATGAAAGCTTCACATTCGGGACCCTCCCAGACCTGGCCTTATGCATCTCTCCCTTTGGCTGGGTCTGATTTGTATCCTTTGCTATGATAAAGTGTAATAGTAAGTATAGAGCTTTCAGTGAGTTCTGTGAGTCATTCTGGTGAATTATCAAATCTGAGGGGGTGGTATCCATTACTATCGAGTCCATTCTGACTCATAACGATCCTATAGGACAGAGTAGAACTTCCCCATAGTTTCCAAGAAGCAGCTGGTGGATTCGAACTGCCAACCTTTTGGTTAGCAGCTGAGCTCTTAACCACTGTGCCACCAGGGCTCTGAGGGGGTTAGTGGGAACTCCCAAATTTGGGGCCAGCTGGTCAGAAGTGAGGGTGATCCTGAGGCCCCCAAACTTGCAGCTGGTGTTTGAAGTCTTGGGCAGGCTTGGGAGTCTGAAGAACTGTGCCATTAGAGTGTGAAATTTGGCCTAACTCTGGGTAGTTGGTGTTGGAAGTCATTTCAACAGGTTTCTACCCTACTGTCCCAGAAGGCTTCAAACCACTGGGTCAGCCCCCCTGGAGGAGAAGGTCTGGGTTTAAGCTGCATGTGTTGGGGTCCAAAGCCAAAGCCCAAGGAGGTACCTGGACTAGGACTAGGAATCTCACTCTACTGGCCAAGGCTCTGCCCATGCAGGTCAGACTCCACCTAGACTGTGCCTTCCTGCAACCAATGGCCATGTAGATTCCAAGCTTGTAGCATGTGGGCTCTGAGGTCAGAAAGACCCCTGGATGGTTTCAGTTATCACAGTGATGGGGTGGGTTCTGGTAGTTGGTGGGTAGGGGACAGGAAAGCTAGACTTTCTGCAAAAGTTGCATCAGCCAGGACGAGATGCTGTTTGGATGGTTCTATTGGACTGTCCAATTCTTGGAGTAGTACACTTTCCTGCCAGGTAGTACTGTAAAAATGGTGGCGTGATGTCAGATCTCCTCATCTAACTTCAGCGGGAGGAGAGAGAGTTAAGCTCGGCATCAGCCCAAGGCTGATTCCTATGAGGTGGAGGTCAAAAATATCTCCATCCTCCAACCTTTTTACCAATTCTGACACCAGCCGTCCCTCCTATGGCATTTTCTACTTCTCTGCCGGGCTCGATAATTCATTGCAATGGCCACACAGAGCTCACAGACCATACTCACAATTATGGGGTTGGTAATTTTACATATTTGTTTGGCACAGCAGGTTGCAGAGCTGTGCTTTCCAACAACACTCACACTATTTTGTATTCCCAAAATAGAGGAGAAACGTTCATATGCTGGGAAGTCAAATAATAGCACAATGTTCACCACAAGACCCAAGAAAGGAACAGAACGGGCACAGGAAAAGCATTGGGTGGTGGGGACCATAGGAAGATAAAAGTAGAACAGCTAGGGGGCATCCAGATTTGAACCAGGGCCTTCTTGATCTATAGTCAAATGCTCTATCCCTGAGCTACACCCCCTCTTTAGTATAATTTTGATTAAGCACTATTAACAAGAGTGGCCCCACCCACAGACTGCAGTGCATTGTAATTTCTATTCCTTCCTAGTCTTCCCCTGGGGACCTGGCAGATCCATCCCACTGCAAACTGATCCTTCTCTGGTGGTCAGCTCACCGTCCCTATCGTTGTTTGAATCCCAGGAGCCTCTTCTGCCTTGACTGAAGGATTGCCCTTTCTCCACACCAGTCAGGGGTCGCCACACCCTCCTCTCCAGAAAAAATGGGTGGACTTGGGTTTTCTCTACCACCTTCTTCTCTCTATTTGTCTTCCCTCATCCTCTGGCCTTGCCCTTGGCCTTGCAAATACAAGGCAGGTATTTGGCTAGAAAAGCTGCAGCCTCTGGGCTAGGCCAGATAGCAATCTCACTGACTGAATTCCAAACCCTCCCAACTTCTGTCTGTGACTTACTCTACATTCATAGTCTTGTTTGGGAGTATATTGGTCGCCAGACTTGGACACTTGCCAATGCTCTAACTACCAACATT